TTTTATTTTTTTTTATAACAGGACTTTATGCAGCGCTTTCATAAGCATTGCGTAAGTTCACCCTTAGCCAGCACTTCTTGTAGAAAGAGCTGCTTAATCCCCCCTTTAGGCAGCGCTTTTACAAATTGTTGCGTAAGCCCGCCCTTTAGGAAGCGCTTTTAAAAAGCGCTTTGTAAGTCCACCCTTTAGGCAGAACTTCTCCAAAGCGCTACAGTACCTATCCCCTTTAGTAGGGCTTTATAAAACCACATTCATCCCCTTTAGGCAGCGCTTTCACAAAACGCTGCTTAAGCCCACCCTTTAGGCAGCGCTTCTAAAAAGCGCTTTGTAAGCCCACCCTTTAGGCAGCGCTTCATTACTCAACCCCTTTAGCAACGCTTTATCAAACCATATTCACCCCCCTTAGGCAGCGCTTTTTTAGAAAGTGTTGTCTAAGGTATACGATCAAATTCCCATGTTTTTAAAATGGACTTTTAGCAACGCTTTTGATAAGAAACGTTGTCTTAGGTGTGCTGTCTAATCTTATTTTTGGCGTAATGAAGACATATCAAAACACCTCTTGCCAGTACCATCATGGTTAAGAAGCTTGGCAATAGATTTTTCAGTAATGCAGAATTTCTCCCCTGAAACATATGAAGAAATTTGCAGTTTAGATTCCATAGCATGAATCCAAATTGCTTAACCAGTGCAGGAAAAACTGGCCCTTTGAGATGGTTGAAATACTCTTTTCAATCCTAGGATTTTACATCTCCAGTGAGGTCGTAACCGTTGGCTTTTACATTATTAAAAACAATGATAATTTCGCATAAAACATCCAAATATTTTATCAGAATAGATAGAGAGATCTCTTGAAGACCTTCTATCTTTGATTGTTGTTGAAGTTGTCGAGAAGATTGAGCTTGTTCTTGAGATTTGTTACCCATGACAAATGAAATATTTTTTTTTGTTGCATAGAAAACTTGAGATTGAAAGAGAAAATGTGTGGGTTGAAATTAGCATAATGTATGAATAGTAAGTGAAGTGACTTTTTAAGTAGATTATGAAATGATGACATAAAACCTTGAATACGGTAAAGATCTGAATTAAAGAGGCATAGAGTAATTCTATCTATTTCCAAAAAAATATTTTTTCCCAATGTGTCACTCAACTGTAAGAGCATGATTATCGGGGTTCTTTGAGAGTTCCTACACATTTATTAAAGAAATTGTGTCAATAATAAATGGATATTTCAATTGTTTTCACGTTCCTGAACTAAAACGCGTCCTCATACTAAAACACGTTTCTACACTCTAATTAAGTGGGTCATGATAATAAATTAATAAATAAAATTGCAAGAATATAGTTGATTTGTTTTAAATGCGGGACCCATTTTAGATTTTTTGATGAGTTACATGGATATTTGAGAATTGTAGATGAGTTGTTTAAAAAATTGAGAAGTGTGAAATAATATAAAAAATTATGTGGGTCCCATTTAAAGAACCCAAATGAGTATGATGGATGTGGATGCTCTAAGAGTCATACTATAGCCTAATGAAAACGGTTTGATTGTATCCAACAACGAAAAATGTTTAGGTGTTGAAAGAAGCAATAGTCATACTCTTAGAGCATCCACATCCATCATACTCATTTGGGTTCTTTAAATGGGACCCACATAATTTTTTATATTATTTCACACTTCTCAATTTTTTAAACAACTCATCTACAATTCTCAAATATCCATGTAACTAATCAAAAAATTTAAAATAGGTCTCACATTTAAAACAAATCAACTACATTCTTGCAATTTTAATTATTAATTTATTATCATGACCTACTTAATTAAAGTGTAGAAACGTGTTTTAGTATGAGGACGTGTTTTAGTTCAGGAACGTGAAAACAAGTGAAATATCCATTTATTATTGACACAATTTCTTTAATAAATATATAGGAACTCTCAAAGAACACCGATAATCATGCTCTTAGATATTCAATTCATTTTTATTCATCTTCAAATCAACATATGTCTCTTATTTCTAAATTATATTCGCATTTTTATTTAACATGACACATTTGTTTGATGTTTAAAATTCAATTTATTATAGATCAAAATTTATAAGACATTTGTGTTTACACATGGCCATAAATACTTGTTTTCTTACAGTCTGCCAAATCTAGCCTATGTCATATATCAATTTTGTATGGTCGGATGAGTAAAGTGACATTTGTTGTACTAATTCTACAATGTCATAGCTATCATTGTCATATATAAAAATAGATTTAAGCATGAAACCGACCAAGCACTCATCTGCACCGAAGTGGTCATTTTAATATGAAGTGAAATATATGTATACTTAAACTATTTAATTAAAGAAAATAACACCTTAAAAACGAATCACTAATTTTTAAAATTTATTTTATATATATACTACCACCGTCTCAAAAAGTATAAGATCCCAAAATTAAAATGGTGGTCGAAATATTAAATTTGTTAACTATATATATATATATATATATATATATATATATATATATATATATATATATATATATATATATATATATATATATATATATATATATATATATATATATATATATATATATATATATATATATATATATATATATATATATATATATATATATATATATATATATATATATATATATATATATATATATATATATATATATATATATATATTTGTTTTTATATATATTTAACTTTAAAAAATTAATAATTTTTTATGTTAATATATTTATTAAGAAAGGTAAAAAAGATGTTAGTTAATTCTGATAGTATAAGTATCTAGTGCTATGGAAAACAAAAAGATGTTTTATAAAAAGAGAAAAAGATACTCAATATTTTTAATTTCAAGTCATTGATAAGAGTTTGAAAGATTATTTTAATTTTCGCATAAAATAGATACAAAATAATAATTTTAGTAGGGGTCATTTTTAATAATTACTTTAATCTAAATTTTTTTAATTAAAATTAATATCTAACTCTATTTGTTGTTTTTTAGTTTATATTTTCATGTTTTTGTACTTCAAATTATATTTTTATTGGTACACATATAATTTAACTTAATTTATATCAAATAAAAAATTTAATTAAAAATTAATAAAAAATATTAAATAAAATAAAACAGAAAGTAAACATAATCGAACAATTAATTACAATGTAGATCAACATTCTCAACTTATTTTTCAGAAAACCTTAATTAATGATACATGAAAATGTTCAAAAATAATTTAAGATATTATGTTGGTTTATCTAGTGATCAATTGAGATACAGTAAGAAAATAAATTAGTTTAATATTATCTTCATCTTTATATGCAAAAAAAAAATTGAGTATCTTTTTTTCTTTTTATAAAACTTTTTTTAAATTTATTTTCCATACACTAAATACTTATATACTATCCAAATTACACCCATTTTTTTTATCTTTCTTAATAAATACTTTAACATAAAAAATAATTAATTATTTAAAATTATTTTTCATGTTAAATAAAACAAAATAAAATATATTTTTTATATGAAAAAGTATGAGAGGATATAAAACCTAACCCACATAAAATTAATAAAATTAATAATTGGACAATATTTGATTTATTTTTAAAAAAAAATTCAAACACACAAATAGAAAGTGATTCCTATCAAGTATCATAATCAACAACAAAAATCGTCATTGATTAACTTATTTACACATGTATTTCTCTTTATGAAAATATGAGATATTTGAAACCTATAAACACGTAAAGTATTTACTTTCGTTTGATTAAAATATGTCATTTTGAAGTTATATTTTTTTCTAATTCTTATAATTATCATATTCAATATCAAACATGATTTCATGCAATTCAATTTAAAACAGAGGTGAAAACTCCAATCTTATCTGAGAAAACTCTAAAGAATATTTCTAAGTTATCCATAAATATGTCACTACAATTTGTTATTCTAAGATTTTTTCTTGAAACTCTCTCTATATTGCACTAATTCAATTATGGCTAGGAAAACAACAATTAACTTATATGATTTTTGATGCGGGAGAAAGTTGACAGTTAATAATAAAATATTTAATAATTATAAATTCTTGAATTAAAGAATACATATAGTTTTGAAAGAATAGATGTCATATAGATCAATTATTTAACATGAAAAATATCTTTATTAAAGTCAATGTTAGTATTTTAAATTCGGATATCATTTCTTATATGTCAAGTTAACGATAAAGAAGAAGAGATTTAAAGTAGATTTTTACTATTTTAATTTTGAAAATTAATAAATTTTATGAAAAGAAAATTGAAAATATATAATATTTTATTAAAATTAATTAAAAATAATAAAAACTTATCCTTGAACCTTTATAATAGATCAATATTAGATATACCAATCATCTTATAGTGAATTTCTTTTCATACTTTCCTAATTTATAATAAATTTTAATTTACCTTATTGTAAATGAAGAGTCTAACGCCACTACAAATGTGTCTAAGTTTGTTTCATTTTTCATTTGTCAAATATTGTACTTCTTTGCCAATTAAGAAAATCTTGCCTGTGACAGTTATAGTTTCTTCAAAGGCATATTATAGTATTTGCATGAAACACACAAGCTAATACACAATGAGTAAAAACCTTATTTAACTTTTCATTCTAAGGGAAATCAATTTTTAGCTTTTCACAAACCCTAAAAGAGCACAAGATAAAAATCATATTAATTCTTATTGATTCTCTCAAGGCAATTTGAAAGGAAAATGTCTAGTAGATTCATTGAATGAGTAAATAAAACCAAAGCACTTAATATTTTAATAAATTAACTTTAGGGTTATCTCACCTTTTTTAATAGCTTCCATGCTAAATTGTAAACTAATATATTATTAAGCTACCACATTAAAATAAACAAAAAATGACACCGTCTTATGTAGTTTCTCAATCTTACTATAAATTTTGTGGCAACTATAACCTTTTGACTCCAGTTATATAACTCACTTTTCTCCTTTCTCCTTTGCAATATTGATGTCTTATAGCTATTTCCCCATTACTTTCCAAAGAAAGATGGAGTACACACAAAACCCTAATAAATCTGAGCAAATAAGATGGAACTCAGATGATATAGGTGGTCCAACACAAGCTAGATCCTATTCTTGTACTTTTTGCAAGAGAGGATTTTCAAATGCACAAGCATTAGGAGGCCACATGAATATCCATAGAAGAGATAGAGCCAAGCTCAAACAACAATCTTCTGAAGAAAACTTGCTTTCTTTGGACATATCAATCAAGAACACAAATGATCATGTTGATTTGGAAGAGAATCATGAAACTCAAAGAGGAAAGTTGGTTACAACAAAAGAACTTCCTCGTAGTTCTTCATTTGTTGATATAAAGGGAAGTGGTGGTGTGACACATAGGATTGAAGAGAATAAATGTGATTTGGACCTTGAGCTTAGGTTAGGTTATGAGCCAATAGGGTCATCATCATTGAGCACTCGATCATTCTTTTGAGTTGCATGCCAATTGAATATTTGCCTAAACTAGGTCACTTTTTTTCGTAAGTATACTACTTCTTGTTTTTTATATAAGCAAAAAGGTATTGTTAATATAAAAAACCAGAGGAAATAACTAATTGTCAAATTATTTGTATTATTATTATTATTATTATATACAAAAAATTACTTGTATTATTATTATTATTATTATTATTATTATTATTATTATTATTATTATTATTATTATTATTATTATTATTATTATTATTATTATTATTATTATTATTATTATTATTATTATTATTATTATTATTATTATTATTATTATTATTATTATTATTATTATTATTATTATTTATTACTATTATTTATTACTATTACTATTATTATTATTATTATTATTATTATTATTATTATTATTATTATTATTATACATAAAAAGTTACTTGTATTTTTCTACTATATTTACAGACGAGTTTTTTATTTTATTTTAGTGATTGTTTTTTGTTTTGTTTTAGTAATTATTATTATTAGTATTATTAGATTATATAGAAAATTAATTATTTCTCTGTGATCATATATAGCTATTATTTGAATATAAGTTATTTTTATTAATAACTGAAGTCCTTGTTCGGTGTATATATTACTAAGAAGTTTTTCATTGTGAGGACTCCTTGGCTTATTTGCTGGCTCCTTCTCCGGTGATGGTTACTTCTGCTGTGGTGATTTCTTTTTCTTTGGAGGCAGTTTACAATTCGGTTTTGGATGTTATTGCAGCTTCTCCTCTCTTGTGTAGTTCTGTTGGATCGCACATAGATGATTCATCCACTTTATGTACGTGGAAGACCGGTGTCATCTATCTTGAATAAGATGATTCCTCTATCTTGTATACTCGATTGTGTTTCAAGACCTAATTCCGAGGGGAGGTATCAGTTCAAGGAGACTTTCCTTCTCTATTTGTTTAGAAGATGCTCCTATTTTTCATGCTTCTCCTTTAGCGCAACCACTACAAGAAAACGGTTAGAAAACTATTACAATCTATGATGAATTTCTATTAATTTTGATGAACAAAATTATTATCGATACACAATAATAATGGGAAAAAAAATTAAGATTTACGAAAGTAAAGGAGAAAAGAAGATTGTGATTTTTGCAGACTAATTCTCTGCCCATAAATTGTGAAAAATCTTATTCATTTGCAATTATAAATTCCGTGAATACTCAATCTGAGTTGATTATAAAAAATAGCAGTTACTCCCTCTATTTATAATTGAGCTTCCTTGCTCCCTAAGTTAAAATTCAAAACTATAAAAACCCAAAATACCTAATTCTTAACACTTACTAAAATAGGTCTAAGTTGAAATCCTGTATGAAACAACCTGCTTCGACACTTTGACACACAACTCGACACACTTATACACTAATTCGACACACCCTTCTGTCGAGCAACATGCTGCTTCGATACAATGAAATTACATTCTCAATACACCACCTAATTCATTGTGTCTAAGTTATCTACATTCATCATAGCTCTTAGTCTTCTGAACACTTCGACCTGAACTCCCTTTGTCATGATGTCTGCAATCTGACTCTCAGTTCTGCAGTGTTCCAATTTAATCTTCCCTTTTTCTACCTGCACATGAAGATAATGGAACCTTATTTTGATGTGCTTATTTATGCCATGTACTATCACATTCTTCTCCAAATTGATAGCTGATATGCTGTCATTGCTCTATGATTCTTCCATGTAATCTCTTCGACCAAATTTACCATTCGTGTTGCTTGACATGCACAAAGAGAAGCAACTATGTACTTTGCTTCACATGGCAATAGTATCATTAGTGGTTCTTTTCTCGAACTCCAAGAAATTGGTGCACCACCTAGCATAAACTCGTAACCGACTGTTAATTTTCTATCTTCAACATCACTACACAAAATTGAGTCGGTGTATCCCAATAACTTGTATTATTTTCCTTTATTGAGTGCAAGAAATAAAATTCCATAGTCGAGAGTTCCTTTCAGATATACCTTAGTTCCTCTTCGTTGCTGCTAGATGTGATATTTTTGGCTTTGCAAGAATCTACTCACCATGCCTACATTGTATGCTAATTCAGGCCTTGTGTGACAAAGAAATCTTAATGACCTAATAAGTCTCTTGTATTTGGTTGGGTCAGCATCATCTTCATCTGAATCTTTCGACAGTTGTAACCTTGGTTCAGCAGGTGTCGAAGTCATGTTGCAGTCTTCCATCTCAAATCTCTTGAGAATTTCTCTTACATATCTTCTTTGATGCATCATTAAACCTCTACTACTTTGGTACAATTCGATGCAAAGGAAGTATGAAATATCTCCCATATCATACATTTTGAATTCCTTACTGAGATAACTTTCGAAGTCTTCGATCCCTTTCTTGTAGCTACCTGTTATTAACAAGTCATCAACATAAAGACATAGTATAAGAAATTCACTGTTGCGTCTTCTTACATATACTCCATACTAAACTGTGCGCTTCACAAATTCCTTCTCCCTTAGAAAATTATAAATATTCTTATTTCAAGCTCTTGGAGCTTGTTTAAGTCCATACAGAGCTTTATGCAACATGTATAGCTTTCTCTCTTTACCTTATTTCACAAACCCAACTGATTGTGCAACATAAACTTCTTCATCTAAGGGTCCATTTAAGAATGCATATTTCATGTCTATTTGACATATGTGCCAACTGTTTGTTTCTGCTAGACCAACAACCAACCTAATAGTTTCAATTCTAGAAAACAAGTGCAAAAACTTCATGAAAGTCAACTCTCTTTTTTGAAGAAATCCTTTTGCCACAAGTCTTGCCTTGTGTCGAGTTGCTTCCCCTTTGTGATTCAACTTCACCTTGTATACCCACTTGACATCAATTGCCTTCTTACATTGAGGCAATTCGACAAGTGACCAAGTGTTGTTGACTTCGATGGACTTCAATTCCTCATTCATAGCTCACACCCACTTTGAATCCTTTAATGCCTCAGCTACCTTGACTGGTTCGACGTCTGCATAGAAAGCATAATGTACTAGCACACCTTCATCGTCTACTGTTGTAACCGGTTTTAAATTGAGAGTCGACATCCTTAATATTTATCTTTGAGAAGGGAATATAAATGATAACCCTAATTAGTTCAGAGATTTTAAGATTTTTGACTCGTTCTTAGACAAAGGGAAGGTGTTAGACACCCCTCATCCACCTTGTTCACAAGGATACTAGGGTTTAGAATTACGGCTTAAGAAATAGGATTTTAATTTTTATTAGAGGAACTCGCTAAGATTTGATTCATATGCCTATGTATCCTCTTATGAGGAATCAGAGTCTCAATTTGTAGTTCGCAGTTGGTTGGTGTTTTTTATGGATTACGAAGATATTTTGAATTCCCCTTGAACCAAGCCTGGGTGTGTGAATAGCGGAATTGTTAGCCGAAGTTCGTAGTCAATTTAAAGTATCTTCATAATCCTTTTTGAAAATAGTTTTGAATTAATTAAGTTATTAAAAAAATATTTAGTGTTAGTTAGGTATTTATTTAATTATATTAATATATAAAACTCTGTTAATGCATGATAAAATAATTTTAGTGCAATTTTTAAAAGTAATTATGAGTTAGTAGAAAAATAAATATTTTAATTTTATAATAATAGCATTAATAAATATATTATATATATTATTATAATAATATGAATAATAAAAATAAAATAAAAAAATAATTTTAATAAGAAAATGCAGAGGGTTATTTTATTTGGGCTGAGTAATTAAGGGGGTACTGAAAGTAAGGGCCCTGAATTCGGATATTGAATTCAGGCTCAAATGTAGAGGAGGTGTTGTTCTGTGCAACATAGCAAGAATGGGGGGTTCAGGGAGCAAGGGCCCAACATCGCTAGGGGGTGAGAATTACGTTGGCGTAGCAAAACAGAGGGTGAGTTTAGTAATGGGTTGAGCCCAAAACGTATCTGATTCAATAGGCGAGGTGTGGGAGAGACCATGGAATTAACATGGACGCGCAGTTATGCAACGTTGGATTGTAATCAGAGGACGCATAGCAAAGGTGTATGAGAAGGGTACGTGGTAGTGTAAGTGTTTGCTTGTTGGCATTAATTTTTGGTAAAACCAGATTTGTGAATGTCATGACTGATGTCATAACATTCTGGGATAAAGGTAAATTCTGCAGAAGGAATGTTCTACAGGAACAACTCAGTATGAGTGAATATCATGATGATTAAGCTATGATCATATGTACTGAATTCTACAAAAATCAGTGAGCAGGATACATGATGTCATAACCAATGTTAAGACATCCTGTACTGATCAAGTTGTTGTACAGATTTATTGTTCCTGAGAATTTTCAGGAATCTGGTGTGCTATTCTGAGTTGAAGTATTTTGTCCAGATCAGATGCTCACGTGGATATTAGGTTAACCTTGCTTAACCCTAATCTGTTATGATGAAAGCTCAAGACCAAGTCTTTAGGTTAACTTTGGCTAACCCTAGCTATTTTTACGGAAGCCCTAAATGAAGAATAGACTGCATATATATTTCTCATGTATCCTAATGGTGAGCAGCACTTTTGACAGAAGATCAATAAGGCATTGTGTAGATAGTTTTAGTAATTATTGTGAGCCAAGCAATTATCACTTGATAAGTGACTTGGAGTAGGATTTGGTTGTAAGGGTTGTTTATCACTCAAAGCTTTGAAGCACGAGTGTTGTGTCCCTTGATTAAAGCTTTAAAGAAAAATCAAGCGTGTGTATTGAAGAATGTCTTTATAATATTATTAATCAGTAGATTAGTATCAATATGTGATTGAGGCGGAGTGAGTAGGAACTCAGGTTTAAGTAGGACTTAGATTGAAGTTGCATTGGGTAGGTCTTAAGTGAAGGAGATAAACTGGTTGGTTTATTCCTAAATTAATACCTCTTATAGTAAATTTCCTCCCTGGCTTGGTAGCCCCCAGATGTAGGTGTTGTTATACACTGAACTGGGTTAACAATT